ACTCATCACCAAGTGTCTGGAACAAAGCTACCGGTACTCACCACCAAGTGTCTAGAACAAAGCTACCGGTACTCACCACCAAGTGTCTAGAACAAAGCTACCGGTACTCACCACCAAGTGTCTAGAACAAAGCTACCGGTACTCATCACCAAGTGTCTAGAACAAAGCTTCCGGTACTCATCACCAAGTGTCCAGAACAAAGCTACCGGTACTCATCACCAAGTGTCTAGAACAAAAGATTCCGGTACTCATCACCAAGTGTCTAGAACAAAAGATTCCGGTACTCATCACCAAGTGTCTAGAACAAAAGATTCCGGTACTCACCACCAAGTGTCTAGAACAAAGCTACCGGTACTCATCACCAAGTGTCTAGAACAAAGCTTCCGGTACTCATCACCAAGTGTCCAGAACAAAGCTACCGGTACTCATCACCAAGTGTCTAGAACAAAAGATTCCGGTACTCATCACCAAGTGTCTAGAACAAAAGATTCCGGTACTCATCACCAAGTGTCTAGAACAAAGCTACCGGTACTCATCTCCAAGTGTCTAGAACAAAAGATTCCGGTACTCATCACCAAGTGTCTAGAACCAAAGATTCCGGTACTCATCATCAAGCGTCTAGAACAAAAGATTCCGGTACTCATCACCAAGTGTCTAGAACCAAAGATTCCGGTACTCATCACCAAGTGTCTAGAACAAAAGATTCCGGTACTCATCACCAAGTGTCTAAAACAAAAGATTCCGGTACTCACCACAAAGTGTTTAGAACAAGAGATTCCGGTACTCGTCACCAGGTGTTTAGAACAAAAGATTCCGGTACTCATCACCAGGTGTCTTGCCTAGAACAAAAGGTGCGGTACTATCCACAAAGTGTCTACTACAGTAACGCTGAAAAATTGATGCCTAAAATAGGTGCCGGTAAGCGTACCGTTGCGTACCTCCAGGAAAAACAAACCCTGCCTTAATTACAATTGACGCTCAGTCTACACCCTCTCGACCCAGAGCATAATTAAACAGCTTCTCATCAATAAGTCCAGCAGGAAACGAGAGGATTCCAGAAACGTGTATTGATCCAACCTGGCCTATAGACCCACGCCCAATTCAACTACCTTTGCCTTTGATACCGGCTCATTTTCTTAGCATGGAATTGAGTCTTGTGGCAGGACTAGACAGGATGGGTTCTAGAAGAATTCGGATTTAAGAAGTACGTATTTGCATTTTTGTGTAATAATAAAAAATAATACAAATAAGTGTTTTAAAGATTCAGTATATATGCAGCTTTTTGGTAAATCCAGAATTGTACATTAAAAAAAAAAAAGTTATGATTATTTTAGTGACGATTCCGTAAAACTATATGTGCGAAAGAAAACCCATTATTTAAAAGATTCATTTCTGCACTGGCCCTATAGTGCGCTCCGAAAGTCATACTGTTATAAGTCATCCCTTTGTGGGATGCAATTTGTCGTTATTTTGAAGCCCCACACTGGCTTTTGCCGGGGGGTCTTAATATAACCTAACTGTTAAACGGGGTTTCCGGGACCTCTCCACGAGTGATCTTCATCCGCACGGTGGCCCTTTGTGTCACCGGGTGTTTATCGCTCAGTGTGATTTAATTACTTACTCTAAAAAAAGTAATTCATTGATTTTAGCAATCACACTTAAAGAAATATCTTGAAAACTCAAGTACGGATCAAATACTGATTTTGTGTGTGTGTGTGTGTGTGCATGTAGTCTTTGATTTTGCATGTCAATTGGATTATATAATTTACAACTGCACAAGTACTTCTTTTTCTTAAAGTGGTGAAGTTCTTTAATCTTAATGGAACTAATAATGTGTGTATCCCTAAACAATAGAATATACAATAACTGACACAAAGTTAACGTTTTTATGACCCATGCATTTCTTCTTCTTCTGCCTTTCTAACCGACAATGGAGCAGAGGCCCTCAGCCACATTCTTCATTGCCATGTTTTGAAAGAAAGGAATTTAATTTTCAGACTCATGCAAATGTAGTCGCAGATCTTGTTATTGTGATAGGTTTATGAACATATTTACATCTACGTTAATGAGATTGTGACAATATATGCCGTATATAAAAGGATGTGTGGTTGGTGGCAACAATATAAACAATTTACGTTATGCTGATGACACAGTCTTGATAGCAACAAGTCAGAAAGAATTACAGGAAATGATAGACATTGTGGTTTTAGAGAGTGGAATAATGGGCCTCAGTTTGAAAAATGAGAAGACAGAAGTAATGGTGGTATCAAAGAAACGAATTATTCCTAAATTCTTAAAAGTCGATGGTGTTATTTTAGGACAAGTACAGAAATTTAAGTATCTGGGCACATGGATAACATCAGATGGAAGATGCATAACTGAGATAAGAAACAGAATAGGACAGGCAAAAACTGCATTTTATAAAATGAAAAACATCTTGTGCAATATATCCTTGTCATTGAGAGTTAGAAAAAGAATTCTTGCTTGCTACATACATCCAGTTTTAACATATGGCTATGAATCCTGGACAATCGCTAGGCAGGCCAAACAATTTCTGGAGGCCTCAGAGATGTGGTTTTACAGAAGAATGCTTAGAATACCTTGGACAGCCAAAAAGAGCAACCAAGAGGTTTTGAAAGAGGCGGGAGCCCAAAGTCAACTTATCACAAACATCAGAAATGGACAGTCATCATTTTTCGGCCATGTTATGAGAAGAGGGAAAATAGAACATGTTGTGACCACTGGAAAGATCTGTGGAAGGAGTGATAGAGGAAGACAACGAGAGAAGATGCTTGACAGTCTTGTTGCATGGCATGGAGGTGTGCAGATTATGGAGAGGCATGATTGCCCACGCCAGTCGGCAAGGCACATGATGATGATGATATGACGTATCCATTTCACTTTTTAAAATAAGTATTTTTTAGTTGTTCACATGGATTGCCTCTAAAACTCATGCAGTTTTATGTTTTGCAAAGTTCGCGTCACCCCATTAACTGTAAGTACGCTAATTGTCTGCTTTACACAGGTGTCTGTTTTCTCTTAAACTACAAAAAAGGCAAAATAAGAACAGATGTTTATGACTTTTTGGGGGTCGGTCAGCACTACTCAAAACAATTTTAGCAATCACCAAATCAGCCGCCTATTACGCCAGGGGGCGTAGAGGCCAATGGGTGCTTACCCCGACCCCTAATGAGGTCCCAGAACCCACATGCGGACGTGATATTAAAGACCCAACACAATGATGCGGTGTCATCCATGTGTGGTTGTAAAGGTATTCAAGTTTTATCATAAATATTATGCCTAACTTTCTTTGTAATTCACACACACACATATATATATATATATATAAAGTACTAGAGGACTTTGCCGAAATCAGCCCAGCACTGTTTGGGCAATATTGACTCCAGTGATTTACCATATCGTTGAACTATTAGTTCACGATACCACTGTCGAACCCAACGACAATTCGCCCGCTGCTGGGATCGAACCAGGCACCCCCAAATTACAAAACGCATTAGCAACGCCTAAGCCAAAGACGCCGACACACACACACACACACACACACACATACACACATAAATTGCTTGGAACACCCAAGTCCTTGAAAAATACCCCACTTTTCTATGACGTGATTCTTGTGGTTTGTTGCCGTAGTGATTTTCTAAAATCGTACTGGTCTTGATGTGCTGATCCAGGACAAGGGAAGCAAACTGTTGGACTTGGCTATAAAAGGCAGGTGCACTGACGACTTGACCACAGATTTCCCACTAAAGATGGAAACTTGTACAATATCACTATGATATCGACGAGGATGACAAAGTTGTCTCCAGGATTCCTCAATGTCAGCAGCAAGGATCGTCTTCCTTTAAACAATAAGTTGAGAGTGCAGGTAAGTGGACCATTAGATGGGTAGTTTTGCTAGAGTTATCTTTCTTTCGTGGGCATCCTCCGAAAGATGTTGTTTGCGTTGCGTCTGCTTTTTTTTGTTTTTGTTTTTGCTGTTACTGTATAAATAATGTTATTAGTTGTATTACCCCCATAAACATGTCGAAGACAGGAGAAACTTGTTACTTATTCGATTATTTTAGTGCTATGTTCGTTGTTGACCGGTCCTGTTTATTGCTTGCAACAGTGTTTATGTTTTCATGTTAATTCTTTCGGCACAAAACGACTCACTAGAAAAGACATTATCAGAAATTGCCAAATCACGAAAGAAGTTAGAACGTAACCAGTATTAAAGTACATCAAGAGACAACAGATACAATGATTTGGTCATATTTCAAGACTGCCACCCGACAGTGCAACACAGAAAGCATTGTCACTTGGAGATAATAGAGGCATATCCAGAGGTCGACCGCGAAAGCGATGGATAGATGAAATGTCCTAGGCCATATAAAGGAGCACAAACGCAGCACATGTCAAGGCTTTCTCCCGATGCCTTTTCAAAACCTGAGCTGAAAGGCAGAACAGGAGTAGAGAAGAAGAAGAAAAAGAAGAAATACCCAAATGACTCGCTAAATGTTTGTTGGTCACTCAAAAACAAAATAATATTGTTACGGTTATCTGTTACACAGATGTTATAATAACTCTTTGTATATGAATTTTAGTTTAAATTAGTTCAATTTCTGTCCCATCGGGTCTCTTTTAACTTCGTCAGACCCAAGTATTTATGAAATAGATGCAGTTAAAGTGACAAACTACTTATGGCTAAAAGAGTTAATATCTAAGCCACATCATTACTGCACGGATACACGATAATTGACATATCTCTGTTGGGATTATGGCAGATTAATCTTTTGTTAAACCAGAGACAATCTGTACAAGTTTAGTGAGAGATTTGCACCTCCCACCCCCCCCCACCCCCAATCGTTTTCTGTTTGTGCCACATTCAGTATCTGATGACACCGTGCGTGTGTGTGTACTTGTGTTTGTTTGCATGCACACCAGAGTATGTGTAACCTATATTTCTTTTTGTCTTCTCCGTTTGAATAAATCATCAGGTAGTTACCAATTCGAAAGGATACCTGGAACTGAACCTGAACGGACGAGACTTGAGGGCAATCCCGCCGGAAACGCTCCAACTGACGGCCACACATGTTCTACGTCTGGCACACAATTACATCGATTGTCTCCCTTTGATGATCGCTTACTTGAGGCTGCTGAAGTAGGTCACTAAGGTTTAAAAAAAAAATAAAAAACAGTAAAGATCTCTTTACACGCCCTTAGGAGCATCGGGCATATGGGAAGAGCACCCATATTTTTACAGAACAATCGGCACTCCGTAGTTAATGTGGTCAGCATTACGCCGGCCGTCTTTACTTTCCCAGGACAGCCCATCCTGGTAGTCATTTTAGGCTGGGTCGACCTGCGACGTCCCATACCCCGATAAAAATCCATGCAGCCCGCAGTGGGTTTCGATCGCGGTATGTTGGTCACTAAGGTTACCAAGTGTATATTGTTGTTGGCACCTTTATGTCTGTCCAGACCATCATTTTAAATTGTGTTATAGGCAGACAGGAAAGTCACAGGCCATGGCGATGGCGAGTGTGACTAGCAAGATCTGCGCGCCTTACATTTGAGGCCAGGAATGGAGTTTCTCCTCCCCATAGCACAGAGCGCCGCGGCGTCAGTGGCTAAGGCGTTGCGAGTCCGACTCGTGAGCCAGCATACCGCGATCGAAACCCACTGCAGGCTGCGTGGATTTTTGTCGTGGTATGGGACGTCGCAGGTCGACCCAGCCTAAAATGGGTACCAGGATGGGTTGTCCTGGGAAAAAAAGTAAAGACAGCCGGCGTAATGCTGACCACATTACCCACAGAGTGCTGATGGTCTGTAAAAATATGGGACGCTCTGCCTATATGCCCGATGCGCCGAAAGGCGTGAAAAGGGATCTTTAATTTACTTTACTTTACAGCACAGAGCTCGGACAGTATTTTAGAGAGCACATGTTTCCCATCTACCATGATCTCCGTCTCCGCCTGTCTTGTTTACTGAAAAGGACAAGAACTACTAAACTAAACACACTGGACTTCAATATACAATATAACCAGCTTCTCATGGGGACAATTAGTAGAAGTACTTTGGAGTGGCTGCTGCTTCGGAGAACTGAGCACGCATGGGTATGCCCAATGTGCAGTGACATCAATTGTGATAACATCTTGTAGGGAGTCAAGTTCAAGGTGTCTCCTTCGTGCCAAAGAACTGCATGGCTGTTGGGTGAACAGTCGTTAACGATGGCAGTCAGGTCGTTGTAGGGGCGACGCTTGCTGGTGGATGTAATGTCCTAAGTTCCTTTTCCAGCTAATAGTGAGGGTGCTGCTGGGGTGACCGTTTATTAACCCTCCCATAATGCTTCATGTCAAAACGGACGCTAGGCACAGTTCCCTTTTTTTAGCCGTGGCAAATTTTTTTGCTTCTGCCGGACGGTGGCCGTTGCATTTTTGCTCCATGCGTAGACAGAGAGGATATAGTTTTGTTGCCCAGCTTCTGAGTTGAGTACATGGCGTGACACTGTGAGCTGCAGATTTCATTTCAGCTGTGATAAACATTTTGTGTGTTTCTCGTTGGCACAGGAGCGGAGCAACTATAAGGTGACCCGTTTGCTATGAAGCTGAACCTAATAAGATTACCAGATTACACACACATGCGCACACGCACATGCGCACGCGCACACGCACGCGCACTCGTTTACACACCCACGCATACACACAGAGCTAAAAACTGCACAACACACAAGAAAAGTACAGAAAAGTAAAATCTGCTTAGCTCAAAACTGCACTGCTAAGGAAGTGCCAAATTACTACATCTACCACCCCTGAAATGATAGACCGTTATTTGGCCTGTGGCTTTGGGGTAGGATACTGGGAAAGAACCGCCTTGTTTACTCCAAAAGAAAGATAGCACCAATTCCTTTTGAACAATCTGTCAGACCGATTAGGAAGTTTCAGGCAGGCACAGACAAGAAAGCCTTTTAGCGTCTTTCCCCGCAGAACCATGTTTCCATTTTTTTTAAAAATTTATGATCAAATATAATGTAATATAGTTTGTTTTAATTAGTCATGTTTAAATGCTTGACGTAGTTCATTTGACTTTCACACAAGCAACTGAAGCACAGCCCGTAAAAAGGCTCGTGTTTTCACATAAAAGAGACACCAATAAAGTTTACATGAATTAAATTTGTTGTTTCTCTACAAGAAACCTGCGTTCGAATCCTAGGTAAAGTCGTGGCCATAAATAAAATTCTACACCGGCACAGTTCGTGGCGACAACACTAGCCATGCAGCCCTAAACACCCAGATTCAAAGATCCCCCTACCCTTCCCCCCCATCCCCCACCTTCTCTCTCAGTCTATACTGCAAAAGTGCTATAATACAGACAGTAAAAGCCGTTTCTCTTCAAGATAGTTTCGTATTGTATCATTTTCTCCCCAAATTTAATTTACCTGTAGTAATGAACTATTTGCACACTTTCCATCCCGCCTAGAGTTCTAGATCTCCAACACAACCTGCTGCCCAGCCTGCCAGAGACCCTGGTCAACTGCCGCCAACTGTCCGAGCTCTACCTGACAGCCAACAGACTGTCCGAGTTACCCAAGAGCATCGGTGGACTGAAGAATCTCAGAGTCCTGGCCATTGGAGAAAACCAGTTTGAACAGCTGCCACAAGAGGTCATTCTACGTATAACATATCACCCCTTGTGTCTGTAGCTGGATGACTGCCAATGTTAACTCTTTGAGTCCCATGTTGGATGCTTTTTAATCACATTGCAACCTAATAATTTATTATGTTAACCATTACATGTGTGAGGTTTGAAGCAGGTAAAATGAAAACAATGAGAAAGAAGGCTATAAGAAACAACTGATGCAGAGTAAGATAACATAATTACTAAGTGGGGAACAGAAGGTTTAGAGTAGTATATAGTGTAAGAAATCTCCGCAATCGCACGGTGAGCTGCCGGATACTAAACGAGTTACCATACGACTTTGAACCTCCATGGTTCGTAAAAGCATGTACTTCTTTGCCACACAAGCGGCCTCAAAAAACCTCCGAAAAACATGCATTCGCGAATCGAACACGGACCAAACCTGAAACCACAAACATACAACGCTAGGCAAAACGCTTAATTACTTCGCCACTGAAACTTTAAAGCTGTTGCGAGTTGTTTATCAAATCAGTCTTAGTGAGTGACACTAAACCCCGATAGGACCCCACGCTGATTGATTAACACCCTGTGACACAAGGGCACCCGGTCAATGTTTGGATGAGAATATCCCAGATCAAATCTCAGAAATCCCGTTCAACCGTAAGGTTATAATTAGGGCCCCTCGACAGTACAAGGTAACTCTAAGTGAAACCGGGTGGGACTGTAACACGACCGGCTCCAGAGCCAGAAACGGCAGTGGGCTGCAATATCAAACAATCTTGTCTCATGTCGTAATGCATTGTGGGTGACCTTTAACACCACCAGGACCGAGCCACCTACAACTGGTGACAATATCTGGATGATAATCACCCGGGCGCAAGTCCCAGGAACCTCGTTCAACCCTTAGGTTACATTTAGGGCCCCCGTCGGCAGCCGGATTGGGGGCTTTGTAATAATAAAGATTATGTTTCAGATTGGATAATGTAAGTTGTACCCCACCCGAACATCACACAAACGATAAACACTCGGTGACACAAAGTGCGACAAGGCGGATGAGGATCACCCTTGGAGAGGCCCCGGAAACCCCGTTCAGCCGTTGGCCATATTTAAGACCCGGTTTTATTTAGAGCCCCCGGAAAAAGCCATGGTGGGCTTACAAATAAGTGATAATTACATCCCACATGGGTGTAACGATTATAACCGGTCAAGTTCAGGTGGATCCATTTTTGAATAGATACTTTGCTTTAACAAAAAAAATCGCCACGTTCAACCAGCTAGTAATTGTATTATATTATTGCAGGTGGGTCTGATGACAAGTCTGCGAATCCTCGACATTCACGGCAATAAACTGTGGCATCTGCCCTTTTCCCTGCAAGAACTCAAACACCTGACGCAACTGAACGCCAGCGATAATCTGTTTGATCATGTCCCTTTAGTCATAACGAAGATTACCTCCCTTCAAAAACTCAATCTTGCAAAGTAAGTTGAAAATGGGTGTCGTATTCTATGATGAATAAAATAAGTATTTAATTAGTCATCCAAAAAGGCAACATAGCAGATACACAAAATCTATTTAAAGCGAATAAATTTATCTCCGTCCTAGCAAGGGATGCAATTTTTGGTTATTATAAAGCCCCAATTCGGTTGTCGTCAGGGGCCCTAATAAAACCCAACGGTTGAACGAGGTTTTTAGGACTCATACCCGGGTTTCTCGTCCAAATGGTGGCATTTTATCGCTTGGTATGCGGTCCTTGTGGGGTTCAATGTCAATCGAAGGAGGAGGAAGAGGAAGAAGAAGACAAGGTGGAGGAAGAATTTTTCTTCTTCTAATTTATCAGTGGTGATATTAAATGGCATTTATTTGACATTTTTACACCAACTAATAGTCAGTAGTCAGCGTATGTGGCTTAGGCGTTGGGAAGGCGCTTCGTAATGCCGGAGTGCCGGGTTCGATCTCAGCTGGGGGCGATTTGGCAGCAGACCGTCTCACTTTTGGTTTCGACAGTGGTACCGAAAGCCGACCGTTCAGTTCAATGACAAACTAATGAACGTAAATTTGCCTAAAAAGCCGACAACAGCCAAAAAATGCTGGGGTTGGTTCTGCAAGGATCTGTCAACGACACGCAGCTAACTTTTAATAGTCATTACCAAAACAAAACTGGAGAGGACATATAAAACATTCTACTGTGTCCCTTACATGTTACCAAATTATCTTTCTTTCTTTCTTTCTTTCTTTCTTTCTTTCTTTCTTTCTTTCTTTCTTTCTTTCTTTCTTTCTTTCTTTCTTTCTTTCTTTCTTTCTTTCTTTCTTTCTTTCTTTCTTTCTTTCTTTCTTTCTTTCTTTCTTTCTTTCTTTCTTTTATTATTTTCCTGCCTTCTCATTTTCTATTGTTCTTTAATCTCTATAAGTCAGCTCGCTATTCTTGTTTTTTCCTTTTCTTCGTATTTATATAAATAGTTCTCTTTAGTGTTTTTGTGTCAAGGCGGAATGTCAAATGCGATCCTGCATTTCTCCGTCTTCTCCTGGGTCTATATTGATTCTGATTTTTTATGTCATGAAGTTGTTTTCCTCCCACCCCTTTCTCTCCCCCCCCCTCGCTCTCTGTCTTCTTCTCTTACTCTCTCTTTCTTTCTCTCTTTCTTTCTGTCTTTCTCTCTTTCTTTCTCTCTTTCCCTGTGTCTTTCTCTCACTCACACACACACTCATTCTGTCTCATGCTGTCTCTCTCATAACACTCTCATTCGCCCCCCTGCCTCAAAGCAGAAAATATATCTTTATTTCACACATCATTCAACTGCCATAACCTTCTAAATAAAACTTTATGTCTCTTCAGCTCGACACAGGCAGAAAATTGCGTGTATCTTCCCAACATGTCACGGTTCTAATTACACAAGTCACGGTTCTAATTACACAAGTCACGGTTCTAATTACATAAGTCACGGTTCTAATTACATAAGTCACGGTTCTAATTACATAAGTCACGGTTCTAATTACATAAGTCACGGTTCTAATTACATAAGTCACAGTTATAGTCACATAAGTCACGCTAGAAGAGTTTTTCTGTTCCGTTTCTTTTAACTAGTGCAGTTTTTTCAAAACTGAGATTCACGGAATCGTCGCTGTATCTACAAAGTTCGTGCTTTGTGTGACGCTCTCTGCTGGCGGCTAGCTGGTCTGTTCTGGTGGAGACTGAGACGTATGGGACAACCCCGTGCACAGAAGTCAGCCATCTACATTTTAATCTTGACTTTGTTGTTGTTGTCCTGACAGAAACCGACTGGCATCCCTGCCTGTGGACTTCAATGCCCTGAGAGGCCTGCAGGAGCTGAACTTGAGCCATAACTCTTTTGTGTCCATTAGTTCCCTGCTGACCAGCTTCAAACACCTCAAATATCTGAGTCTGGCAAACAACAGGCTCAAGTTTCTGCCTCCTCAAATGTCACACCTACAGGTGAGTGTCAGGTAGTGTCACACTGACAGGTGAGTGTCAGGTAGTGTCACACTGACAGGTATCATATGTCACACCTACAGGTGAGTGTCAGGTAGTGTCACACTGACAGGTATCATATGTCACACCTACAGGTGAGTGTCAGGTCATGTCACACTGACAGGTAAATGGCCTATCATATGTCACACTGACTGGTGAGTGCCAGATCATGTCACATGTACAGATGAGTGTCAGGTCATCTCGCACTCACAGGTGAGTGTCAGGTCATATTCACAGTTATATGTGTGTGACAGTATAGATGTCACGATTACAGGTGTGTGGCAGTATAGATGTCACGGCTACCGCTTACAGGTGAGGGACAGTATAGATGTCGCTATTACAAGTGAGTGACAGTATAGATGTCTCTATTACAGGTGAGTGACAGTATAGATGTCGCTATTACAGGTGAGTGACATTATAGATGTCGCTATTACAGGTGAGTGACAGTATAGATGTCACTATTACAGGTGAGTGACAGTATCGATGTCGCTATTACAGGTGAGTGACAGTATAGATGTCGCTATTACACGTGAGTGACAGTATAGATGTAGCTATTACAGGTGAGTGACAGTATAGATGTCGCTTTTACACGTGAGTGACAGTATAGATGTCGCTATTACAGGTGAGTGACAGTATAGATGTCGCTATTACACGTGAGTGACAGTATAGATGTCGCTATTACAGGTGAGTGACAGTATAGATGGCACGTATACAAGTGAGTGACAGTACAGATTTGATCGTTACAGGTGAGTGACAGTATAGATGTCGCTATTACAGGTGAGTGACAGTATAGATGTAGGTATTACAGGTGAGTGACAGTATAGATGTCGCTATTACAGGTGCGTGACAGTATAGATGTCGCTATTAAAGGTGAGGGACAGTATGGATGTCGCTATTACAGGTGAGTAACAGTATAGATGTCGCTTTTACAGGTGAGGGACAGTATAGATGTCGCTATTACAGGTGAGTGACAGTATAGATGTCGCTATTACAGGCGAGGGACAGTATAGATGTCGCTATTACAGGTGAGGGACAGTATAGATGTAGCTATTACAGATGAGTGACAGTATAGATGTCGCTATTACAGGTGAGTGACAGTATAGATGTCGCTATTACAGGTGAGTGACGGTACAGATGTCGCTATTACAGGTGAGTGACGGTACAGATGTCGCTATTACAGGTGAGTGACAGTATAGATGTCGCTATTACTGGTGAATGACGGTACAGATTTCGCTATTACAGGTGAGTGACCGTATAGATTACACGTATACAAGTGAGTGACAGTACAGATATCATCGTTACAGGTGAGTGAGAGTATAGATGTCACAGTTACAGGTGAGTGACAGTATAGATGTCGCTATTACAGGTGAGGGACAGTATAGATGTCACTATTACAGGTGAGTGACAGTATAGATGTAGCTATTACAGGTGAGGGACAGTATAGATGTCGCTATTACAGGTGAGTGACAGTACAGAGGTCGCTATTACAGGTGAGGGACAGTATAGATGTCGCTATTACAGGTGAGTGACCGCATAGATGGCACATATACAAGTGAGTGACAGTATAGATGTCAAGGTTACAGGTAAGTGACAGTGTAGGTGTAACGCTTACAGGTGAGTGACAAGAGAGATGTCACACTCAAAGGTGAGTGACATTATAGATATCACGCTTACAGGCGAGTGACAATACAGATTTCACGGTGACAAGAAATTTACGGTACAGATGTCGGGGTTATAGGTGAGTGACCGTATCTATCTCACGGTTACAGATGAGTGAAGGTATAATTGTCACGGTTACAGATGAGTGACAGTATAGTTGTCACGGTTACAGATGAGTGACAGTATATTCTTTACAGTTACAGGTGAGTGACAGTATAGTTTTCCCGTTTACAGGTGAGTGACGAATAAATGTATCAGTCACAGCTGGATATCAAATAAACGCCCCATACACACATACGCACACATAAAATAAACAACAGACCTAGCAAACAATAAAAATTTAAAGAGGACGCATCATTGGTAGGTCTCCACCCCCCCCCCCCTCTTCCCAGAGAGGACACGTGATCGGTTGGTTCCCTCAGAGAAGACACGTGATCGGTTGGTTCCACCAGAGAAGACACATGATTGGTTGGTTCCCCCAGAGAAGACACATGATTGGTTGGTTCGCCCAGAGAAGACACATGATTGGTTGGTTCCCCCAGAGAAGACACATGATTGGTTGGTTCCCCCAGAAAAGACACTTGATTAGTTGGTTCCCCCAGAGAAGACACATGATTGGTTGGTTCCCCCAGAGAAGACACATGATTGGATGGTTCCCCAGAGAAGACATATTATTGGTTGGTTCCACCAGAGAAGACACATGATTGGTTGGTTCCCCCAGGGAAGACACATGATTGGTTGGTTCCCCCAGAGAAGACACGTGATCGGTTGGTTCCCCCAGAGAAGACATATTATTGATTGGTTCCACCAGAGAAGACATATTATTGGTTGGTTCCACCAGAGAAGACACATGATTGGTTGGTTCCCCCAGAGAAGACACATGATTGGTTGGTTTCCCTAGAGAAGACACGTGATCGGTTGGTTCCCCCAGAGAAGACATATTATTGGTTGGTTCCACCAGAGAAGACACTTGATTGGTTGGTTTCCCCAGAGAAGACACATGATTGGTTGGTTCCCCCAGATATGACACATGATTGGTTGGTTCCACCAGAGAAGACACATGATTGGTTGGTTCCCCCAGAGAAGACACATGATTGGTTGGTTTCCCCAGAAAAGACGGTTCCCCCAGAGAAGACACATGATTAGTTGGTTCTCCCAGAGAAGACACATGATTGGTTTGTTCCCCCAGAGAAGACACGTGATTGGTTGGTTCCCCCAGAGAAGACTTATGATTGGTTGGTTCCCCCAGAAAAGACACATGATTGGTTGGCTTCCCTAGATAAGACACATGATTGGTTGCTTCCCTCACATAAGACACATTATTGGTTGGCTGCCCCAGAGAAGACACATGATTGGTTGGTTTCCGCAGAGAAGACACATGATTGGTTGGTTCCCCCAGAAAAGACACGTGATTGGTTGGTTCCCTTGTGTAATTCCCAGTGTACAAAGATTTCAGTAGCTGAGAACTGCTTGAGGCCATTCAAATATCATGACAGTTATTGATTGAGATTCATAGTAGAGAAAAACTATTGAGATCGGAGGACAGAGTATAGTGTAATGACAGGATCAGACAACCCTGAAGTTTACCCTTCAGCCTTATAAGCGCTGTTTGCATTGGCACATAATGAGCTCCGTGTGTATTTCCCAGAACCTTCGCGTGCTGCATGTTCAACACAACTGCCTGCGCCATGTGCCAGCTCGCCTGAGGTGCCTCCAATTTTACAACGTGTCCAGTAACCAACTGACCAGCTTTTCTGTTGAAGGCATGCGGAATCTCGTGTCCCTGTCCGCCTCTCGTGAGTATAAAACACGTTTGCTTATATGAATCCACCTGTACTTATTTACGGTGTCGGCTCTGTGGCTAAGTCGATGCGAACGCTTCGTAATGCCGGGATGCCGGGTCTGCTTCCAGGTGCGGGCCATGCGCCTTACGTTGGTTTCGACAGTGGTATCAAGAAAACCGAATGTCCAGAAAGCATTGGCAAACTACTGGACGTAAATTTGCCTAAAAACCACACAACAACCAGGGGCTGTTGGGGTTAGTTCTGCAACGTCCTGTAAAGAATACGCAACTAACCTAACTTATTTACGAAACAGAGCCAGAGTCTTCCTCAAGTATCTTACATTTTCCCATAGATTACGTTTCGATATTTAACCAGTTTTTTTTTTTTTTTTTTAAATCTATTTACTGCGGCGGCGAGATGCGATCTATTCACATCTGTAAGTGTTGTTAACAGATAAAGATTACACTAGAGAGGGTATCACGTGATATTTTCCTCTCGTCGATTGGCTGTTGAGCATATGCGTGCGTAGTTAGAGGATTAGAAACTGGCAGCTTTCACACGTTTCAGTTTTTTTGCATGAGTGGCGTAAGCTTGCAGCAAGTTTACTTTTGTCTATGTTCGACACCTAAATCTAGTGGCGTATTTGTAATAAATAGTAGAATTTGTTGAATTTTGAATTAGGAATCGACATCATAGCACTCAGGAAACTCCTATAAGTGATCTGTTCCCATCTTCAGCAGCGAGCGAAGAGTTCCAATTCTGATGGCACCAGTAACAATAAATAGTGAACAATAAAAATAAATAATAAAATAAATTGTTCTTAGCAATGGGAAGTGTAAGCGGCCATTAAAGCATGCACGTCTGGCTACTGGTTGATTGTAACTGGGATAACGTTGTCCCAGGCGCCAGAGTCAACAGCCAGTCAGTTTATTAACAAAGATTGAGTCGGCTTAGCTCAGGGACTACAGTACCACTCGGAGGTCCTACCAGCCTCAGTATTAGCAAACATCTTTGTGTTCTGAGAATGCTCATTGATGAATAGGCGATGAAGGCAGAAACGTGTCACCCAGGCTTTTGTAACAAGAAAGAACACGTGAAAACCCCGCAGTAGTATTTATTTGCGTGACATTTCTTCCTTTTTTCATCTAACTAGTGTCGCGGTTTTGTTTTCTTACTGATACCACGTTGTAGCCCAGTGTCGCGGTTTTGTTTTCTTACTGATACCACGTTGTAGCCCAGTGTCGCGGTTTTGTTTTCTTACTGATACCACGTTGTAGCCCAGTGTCGCGGTTTTGTTTTCTTACTGATACCACGTTGTAGCCCAGTGTCGCGGTTTTGTCGTCTTACTGATACCACGTTGTAGCCCAGTGTCGTGGTTTTGTTGTCTCACTGATACCAGGTTGTAACCCAGTGTCGTGGTTTTGTTGTCTCACTGATACCAGGTTGTAACCCAGTGTCGTGGTTTTGTTGTCTCACTGATACCAGGTTGTAACCCAGTGTCGTGGTTTTGTTGTCTCACTGATACCAGGTTGTAACCCAGTGTCGTGGTTTTGCCGTCTCACTGATACCAGGTTGTAGCCTAGTAACGCGTCTTTTGTCGTCTCACTGGTACCAGGTTGTATCCCAGTGTCGCGGTTTTGTCGTCTCACTGGTACCGGGTTGTAGCCCAGTGTCGCGGTTTTGTCGTCTCACTGGTACCGGGTTGTAGCCCAGTGTCGCGGTTTTGTCGTCTCACTGATACCAGGTTGTAGCCCGGTGTCGTGGTTTTGTCGTCTCACTGATACCAGGTTGTAGCCCGGTGTCGTGGTTTTGTCGTCTCACTGATACCAGGTTGTAGCCCAGTGTCGCGGTTTTGTCGTCTCACTGATACCAGGTTGTAGCCCAGTGTCGCTGTTTTGTCGTCTCACTGATACCAGGTTGTAACCCAGTGTCGTGGTTTTGTCGTCTCACTGATACCAGGTTGTAGCCCAGTGTCGTGGTTTTGTCGTCTCACTGATACCAGGTTGTAGCCCAGTGTCGTGCTTTTGTCGTCTCACTGATACCAGGTTGTAGCCCAGTGTCGTGGTTTTGTCGTCTCACTGGTACCAGGTTGTAGCCCAGTGTATTTGTTTTCTGTATTTGTCTTGCGCTTCTCATGTGGCTTGAGTGATGGATTTGTTCGTCATTTTGCATGTTTTAGCTACACCATTTATCCATCTCTTTCTTAGTCTTCCTCTCCCCTTCCTCTTAGATACTGTACTCTAAAAAGTCTCATATGCAGTCTGGTCTGGCTGCATTCTCACTAGATGGCTGAACTATTCAATTCTGTGTCTGTAAATATAATCCAGGCATGGTCTTTTTCCAACTTTCTCTCTAATGCTAGTATTTGTAACCCTGTCTCTTCTTGTGTTGTCAGTGACCTTGCGGAGACAGTGCATTTCACATGTAGTTATTTTAAGTACTAGTGCCATATTCATTGTCTATGTTTCGCACTGATAACATAAAGTGGGGATGAATATGCTTTTAATCATTTGCGGTTTTGCTGGAATGTGAGACATCTTTGTGTCTAAGAGCGTGGGTTGGGGTTGGGGTTGGGGTGGGGGGGGGGGGGGGGGGCTAACTGGTAGGGGACAGCATTTGTCTTTGTGACATTAGTTATCATAAGTCCACGCCTTTCTGTAATGTGTGCCGTTAGTTAACCTCTATCGTGACCTTTCACAGGTAACAACCTTGGCACCGTTCCTCGTGGCCTGTACAAGTTGAAGAAGCTGAAATTTCTGTACCTGGACAACAACCAGCTCGTGGAGCTTCACGAGGACATCCGTCAGCTGAAAGAGCTGCGAGTCTTGGATGTGTCCAACAACCAGCTGGTGGCACTGCCTCGCTGTCTGCACAAACTTGCCAAACTGCAGGGTTTCAACGCCAAAGGAAACTATAAACTTAGACAAACAGAACTCGAGAACGAGGAGTCAAACAACAGCACCCTGGATTCAGCCAGCCTGAGACACAAGACTCAGTGTACAGTGGAAGGTGCAACAAATCAGCAAAATAAAAGGGATGAACACAACGAAACTGCCAACATTGAAAGTAAAACCAACGAATTTACTAACGATGTTTTGGACAGTAACGATATAACAGAGAAAACAGGAAGTAACAGCAAACGCAAACAGTTTGTAACAATAAGCTTAAATAAGGAAACCGAACATGGCTTAGCACAAATGTCAAAGGTACCATCAGACTTGGAAATATACGCTAAAGCAGCTCATGGTCACACTACGTGTCATCACAATTTCAAAAGTCCAGGCATGCCTTCTGCCAAAGTTGATGGCAAGCTGCATAAAGAACGAACATATACTAGATCAAGCTTGCCTAGAGAATCGGAAACAAAAGCGCCTACAAAAGTGAGCTCCCTGCAGTATCTCAGACATCTTTTATTTGGTGTGCCAAAGAAACCCAACTATGTTAAATCTAATGTTAGTAACTCTGTCCCCGACTCTCACAGGCTGTCTGAGAAATCTATACATTTTCAAGACAACGAGATGAGTCCTCGATGCAGGGGCAGCAGGAATTTTCCACCGACCAGGCAGTCAACACTTTCCAGAAACTATTCATGTTTGGGGTCTCAGAGAAAACCGACTTGGGCCAGAAGCTTTGGTCCATATGGACATGTTCATGAGCCGATTGTAACAAACAGGATTCATTTCAACATCCCGGACGAAAGAAGAGATGACATGGATGCAGATTCAGACAGCCATGGCTATGGAACATGGGGTTCAAGACACCGGCCGCCTGATGGCTACTTTGATACAGACAGTCTGGACTACACTGGCAGTAGTTCCTACGGTGGAGGAGATTGTATTCAACCACCTCCCAGTGTAGGCTACAATGGTGCTTTTACACCGGGACATGGCGATTACAACGCTGCAGTATCTGGACCCAATGTGGACTTCTATTTCAGTGACGACAATTCTGGTGAAGAGGGTGGCGCAAGAAACAAGAAGTGTAACCATCACCACACAAACAAGAACATACAACAATGTCATAACTACAATGACATTAAAGGGGGTTGGCGTGAAGGCCAGTACCTACAATGCGGATGCCACTGTTCCAGTTCAAATAAGATACATGCATTAGGCAAGGAGAGATCGAGCAGTCAAAGAAGGAGAAATAGTTTTGATCGAATCTCCTCCAAATCTGCATTTATGTCAACCAAAGACATGTCTTCTTTTGTCAGTGAAGCAAATGCGAAAGCTATGGGACGACAAGGAGATTCACGCAGTCAAGGACTAATATCTCAGTCCTATACAACACTACACACGTCAGTCCCTGAACCTACGCTGGTCAACTCCAACAAACGGATGACCATCCCTCAAGTTGGATGTTGGTTCAGAGACGGACGTGTCAGCTCTCCGACGTGTTTCAATAAACACATAGGCCAATGTCATGGCCATTCTTGCCCTCAAGATAACCCCTATCACTGTGTGTATCATGGTGAGACTGGAGAACCATCTCGATCTTACCAGAACAATCCTTCATCAGACGCGGACCAGGCAAATAGTTCACAAAACCATCAGAGTTGCACGTATAGAACCCCTTCCTCTCAGAGACTAGACCGCAGCGTCCGGAAAAATCGCAGCAAATCTGAGGCTCAATCTGAACTTTATCATGGCGAAACTTTGAAAAAGAACACTATAGAATTCGACCATGTTTTAAAGACTTCAGATTCTACAGGTTATGAAATAAAACAAAATGTCAAAGCTGCCCAAATAAATGATACCAGCACAAGTTGTGTACATGGTCCAGGACACCAAAACTCTAACTTGGGTGATAAGTTTAGCAAAGGAAGAAAACTAAATCCACCATTGAGTCATAGCAGAAGTGTCGATTCTTTGATGGACCTGACCAGTAGAGGTGATTCCGTGAGAAAGAAGAGTGCCACAAGTCGGGGCGATATTGTGGGAGGATCGAATCCACCCGGCTTAGTGGGCGGGTTAGGTGAGCTGAACTTAGCTCATAGTGATGAAGCACAAACAGCGGGTGAGGTTCACCGGGGCGGGACCGATTACAACCTGCTGGGAGTGTGCAGTCAGGTGGAGACTCTGCTCAACCAGAATCTTCTACAACCTGTCATCAGCTACCAACATCGCGGCAGACACAGGTACGTGTTCTCACCGTTGTCCACACTAGCATAGTCAGTCTAACATGGCGTTGTCTGTTAGTCTGTGTCCAGTACAACTTGTGTGGAACTTTAACATGGCACTTCAATCAGCAGAACGCACTGACAATAAGAAACCATTTTTAAAAAAGGGGATGGGGGGAGGGGCGCTCAGGGAAGCAGTAGGGATAAAGAAAGCTCAGTCCCCAGGTTCCACTTTCAGGCGCCTGATTCCCTGCACATACAGAATGTTTTCCCCAGCTGAGCTCTAGAATATGGGAATGTTTACAGTAAAAGGACAGTAGAGGACTGTTGCACGCCACAAGCGGACTGACTGTAGTGTTCTAGCCCTATTTTGTTAGCAGATCCGTCAGTATTCACATGTGTCGATGTTTCTTTGACTTTAACATCGATAGTCAGTGAGTGATGCGATCGACATGACGTCCGTCATATTTATTTCCCTGTACTTGTCCAGACAGCAGGGCTGGATTTAGAAGAGTCGCACTGTCAGGTTATACCAGGTCGCCGGGGCAGGCTGGCTAGGCAGTTAGGGTGCCCACCTCTGGCTTGTGTGGACTTGATTCAGTTCTCGACCTGCACTTTGTGTTTTAATGTAGACAAGAAAATAATGGTATATCCAGCTTGATCGCGGTTTATGACGTGTATATTTGCAGTTTAAAAAAAAAACTTTTAAAAAATTAATAGGACAATTCTAGAACCACTAGTACAAAGTTGTTGGCGTCTGTGGCTTCGGCGTTACGAACGCTCTTCGTGATGCCGAGTTGCCGGGTTCGATCCCAGCTGCGGGCCTTGGGTCTTGCGTTTATTTTCGACAATGGTTTCGAGAAGCCGACCGCCCAGAAGCAATAGCAAACTACTAGACGTAAATTTGCCTAGAAAAACCACAACAATAAAAAATGCTGGTGTTGGTTTTGCAACGTCCTGTAAAGGATACGCAACTAACTTATAGTACAAAGTGACTATTTACAGGTTTACAATCATTAACATCAAATGAATATTTACAGTGTAGTAAGACTGAGATGGAATTAATGTTGCGATTTGAAAACCATTAGTATTAAGAATATTTCTTCTTCTTCTGCCGTCTATCCCCCAGTAGGCCGTCAACCAAATCAGCCCAGATCGTTCTATCTTCACTGTTGCAAACAGTTTTGCTCATGCTCCCACCCCCATCTTTTTAGCTCCATTCTCTAGCTCCATTCTCCAAGTGTTTTTTTGTTTTTGTTTTTGTTTTTGGGTCTGGTTCTATTTCTATGACTCCGTGGGTTCTAATGCAAAGACACTTAAGTTCATTTGTTCTCGTGTTATCTAAAGATATTTAGGAATATTTACAGCTTTATAAGTACTGATATACGGTGAATACTTGCATTTCTTTTTAGAAGCACTAGTATGTGGTCGATACTTGCAGTTTTATAACCACTAATATGAAGTGAATACTTGCAATTTTAGAACCGCTAATTTGAAGTGAATACTTGGAGTTTTAGAACCGCTAATTTGAAGTGAATACTTGCAGTCTTAGAACCGCTAGTGTCAAAGTTGAATTCATAGTGTTTCAACAGCGGAAATAAAATGCGTATTAACATTTAAAGGCCGACAATATACAGAGTGTATTTGCAGTTTTATAACCGCTGATGCAAATTATTATTATTATTATTATTATTATTATTATTTGCAGCTTTGCTGAGAAAACGATACGAGAAAACACACACGGTCTTTGGCGAATGGACAGCAGATCAGACTTTGCTTTCAGTGATGTGAATGGTGATGACTTTGGTGGTGGTGGTGGTGGTGGCAGTGATGAAGATGAGGATGACCTTCTTGCTTTGGAGTACACCCAGCGTCAGACTTTCACAGTGACCAGCCAAGGAGGTCAGTTTGTGTCCAGTGCTGGTCCAGAGGTGAAGATTAGTGTACCAGCGCACGCCACAGCTGACCCACTTCGTATAACAGTGCAGGTAGGTGGGTTGTCGGTTCCGCTTTTATTTCAGCAACTCAGTAATTTAGACACCCAGTTAATCAGACGTGTTCTCATTCTTCTACTTCCTCTTAGCGTTCACGGGCTGTAAACTCCTGCGGAAAGTTCTGGTTGTTCGTCCATCCATGCGGCCTCATCATCATCGTCATTATCCACATCATCATCATCATCGTCATTATCCACATCATCATCGTCATTATCAACATCATCCTCATCATCATTCACATCATCATCGTCATTATCAACATCATCATCGTCGTCATCCACATCATCATCATCATTATCAACATCATCATCGTCATCATCCACATCATCATCACCATCGTCATTATCAACATCATCATCATCATTATCAACATCATCATCGTCATCATCCACATCATCATCGTTATTATCAACATCATCATCGTCATCATCCACATCATCATCATCGTCATTATCAACATCATCATCGTCATCATCCACATCATCATCATCATCATTATCTACATCATCATCATCATTATCGTCATTATAAACATTATCATCATCATCGTCATCATTCACATCATCATCGTCATTATCAACATCATCATCCACATCATCATCATCATCATCGCCATTATCAACATCATCGTCATTATCAACATCAGCATCGTCATCATCCACATCATCATTGTCATTATCAACATCATCATCATAATCGTCATTATCAACGTCATCATCGTCATCATCCCCATCATCAGCGTCATCATCCACATCATCATCATCATCGTCATCATCCACATTATCATCATTATCATCCACACCATTGTGATATTACATGTCTCATCGCGTTCACAGCCTATTTCTCTATTTCGTTCTATCACGTCTTTCGATATCATAGACGGAATCATGCTCACCGTAAGAGTCGACTAATTGGAAGCTTTCTTCGAAGTCGGAGTGCATCTGCCTGAGAGGCAAGAAGCCAACATTCTGCACCCAAATATGTCACAAGCTGTCAAACGGATGCACATGCAACACTCAGGTTCAGGAACAGGGCTGCAGTCCAGAAGTGGACGAAGAACCAGAACTTTCCACCAGATTTTACGGCTGGTGAACGCAAAGAAGAAGAAGAAGAATGTATGTAAGCTGGTGCTTTTCCCCTTTCCTTTTTATTTTAGTTTAAAAAAAAAAAAACACATCAAGGCTAAACAGTTTTTTTTTTAAACACTTATATTTCAGCTGATGTTTGTTCCTTCGTCTGTTCTTGCCAAAGCCAAAGAGCTCAATTATTTTGTAAACAACATCGTTGCCATGGGACCCGTGGTGTACTTCCGGTCGAGCACAGAAGCCAAGCTAAACAGCGCAGCCACCGTCACCATTCCCGCCCCTGCTGAGGTCAAGGGAGGTCACCTGACCGTGCTAACCGTGAGACAGGATCACTCTTGTATCCCTTGTTCTAGTGGCTACCGATCTGGGAAACTCGCAGCCTCGCTGACAACCTGGCAGTTTGCTGGGTAAGTCTGATCACTGACTGTCGTTGATTATTGAGCTAAGAACTGACATTACAGCGCTCCGGACACATCCATATTCATCTGACCCAATCTTCTGGAGCCAACAAAGAGGTCTAATTCCGCTGGTACTAGTACCAGTCTTGCCATTCGTCTGAGCGTGCAGTGTCGACCAGATCCCAAAGTCGTTCCTAGCAGTACCATTCTCGCCAAACCATAATGTTCTATACTTCTTCCGCATTTTTCACTTGCCCCCTCACAGCCTTGACTACATTTAGCTTGTCAGACATCAAATCACCAGCCATTATTGCACAAGCATCCAATGTATCTGCCGGTTCATTTCCTAAAACTCCTGCATCCACCGGAGTACATGTTAAAAAAAAAAAAAAACATAACCGTACGGTTGACTTCATCAGTTTGATGCAAGTATTCTAAATGCCTCCCCTCTAATGTTCAAATTGTATTTTGATTTCGTTGCGTATGCCGTCCCCCTACTGTGTCGCATGTATCATAGCGTGATGACTAAACAGGACTTCAAGTAAACACATTAGAAGATTTACTTCACTGCATACCGGTTCGGTATGCACTCTACGAATAAAAGCGCCAAGTCTGTTAAGATTGTTGCACAAATCACAAAACATTTACTTCCCCTGAATTGTTCTATGACATTCAGGTTCAAAACATCGATTTTTGTGTTCGATTATTTTGATAGAAATATATCTATGTCTGACGAGCCAATCTCTGGAGAGTATTGTTCTACTGCCAGCGTCAAACATAAACCACTGCTAAAACTAAGGAATACTAAATCCACCGCTGCCTTCCTAAATAGCAAACTGGACACTGTCAGCTCAGATAACTGAAAGCCTGGAGCTGTGCCCATTGTGTTTATTTGGCCCATTATTGATACATGTACACTGGACTGTTGGGGTGGGCTAATACAGGTGGGTTATTGTAAACGGTTGAACGGGGTTTCTCTCATTTGTACTTTATTGTCATCCTGGAGATGTTTGTCCTACAGAATCGAGTCTTTGAGAGATGACAGTTACATTTTTTTTCTTCTTTGCTTATCACACACACACACACACACACACACAGAGAGAGAGAGAGAGAGAGAGAGAGAGAGACAAATAGACAGAGAGAGAGAGAGAGGGAGGGGAGGGGGAGGACATCAAATATAAAAACTAAAGTACAATTTGATTACAACCTTCTTACATAAGGCGCAACTGATGTGATCTACACTGATGTCTATGTCATGTGTCATTTGGGGTTTATGACATCGGGAAGTTGGTGCCTAGTCATGTGTCAGTTGATGTCTATAGGCTGTGTCAGTTGATGTCATGTCAGGTGTCAGTTGATGTCTATATTGTGTGTCAGTGGATATCTACGTCATGTATCAGTTAGTGCCCATGTCATGTGTCAGGTCATGTCTATGTCACGTGTCAGTTCATGTCTATGTCATGTGTCAGTTCATGTCTATGTCACGTGTCAGTTTATCTCTATGTCACGTTTCAGTTCATGTCTATGAAACGTGTCAGTTCATGTCTATGTCACGTGTCAGTTCATGTCTATGTCACGTGTTAGTTCATGTCTATGTCATGTGTCAGTTCATGTCTATGTCACGTTTCAGTTCATGTTTATGTCATGTTTCAGTTCATGTCTATGTCACGTGTCAGTTCATGTCTATGTCACGTGTCAGTCAATGTCTATGTCACGTGTCAGTTCATGTCTATGTCACGTGTCAGTTCATGTCTATGTCATGTGTCAGGTCATGTCTATGTCACGTTTCAGTTCATGTCTATGTCACGTGTCAGTTCATGTCTATGTCATGTGTCAGGTTATGTCTATGTCACTTTTCAGTTCATGTCTATGTCATGTTTCAGTTCATGTCTATGTCACGTGCCAGTTCATGTCAATGTCATGTGTTAGTTCATGTCTATGTCACGTTTCAGTTCATGTCTATGTCACGTATCAGTTCATGTCTATGTCACGTGTCAGTTCATGTCTATGTCACATGTCAGTTCATGTCTATGTCATGTGCCAGTTCATGTCTATGTCATGTGTCAGTTCATGTCTATTTCACGTGTCAGTTCATGTCTATGTCATGTGTCAGGTCATGTCTATGTCACGTTTCAGTTCATGTCTATATCACGTATCAGTTCATGTCTATGTCATGTGTCAGTTCATGCCTATGTCACGTGTCAGGTCATGTCTATGTCACGTTTCAGTTCATGTCTATGTCATGTTTCAGTTCATGTCTATGTCATGTGTCAGTTCATGTCTATGTCACGTGTCAGTTCATGTCTATGTCATGTGTCAGTTCATGTCTATGTCCTGTTTCAGTTCATGTCTATGTCACGTGTCAGTTCATGTCTACGTCACGTGTCAGTTCATGTCTATGTCACGTTTAAGTTCATGTCTATGTCATTTTTCAGTTCATGTCTATATCACGTGTCAGTTCATGTCTATGTCATGTGTCAGGTCATGTCTATGTCACGTGTCAGTTCATGTCTATGTCACGTTTCAGTTCATGTCTATGTCACGTGTCAGTTCATGTCTATGTCACGTGTCAGTTCATGTCTATGTCACGTTTCAGTTCATGTCTATATCATGTGTCAGTTCATGTCTATGTCACGTGTCAGTTCATGTCTATGTCATGTGTCAGGTCATGTCTATGTCACGTTTCAGTTCATGTCTATGTCACGTGTCAGTTCATGTCTATGTCATGTGTCAGGTCATGTCTATGTCACTTTTCAGTTCATGTCTATGTCATGTTTCAGTTCATGTCTATGTCACGTGCCAGTTCATGTCAATGTCATGTGTTAGTTCATGTCTATGTCACGTTTCAGTTCATGTCTATGTCACGTATCAGTTCATGTCTATGTCACGTGTCAGTTCATGTCTATGTCACATGTCAGTTCATGTCTATGTCATGTGCCAGTTCATGTCTATGTCATATGTCAGTTCATGTCTATGTCACGTGTCAGTTCATGTCTATGTCATGTGTCAGGTCATGTCTATGTCACGTTTCAGTTCATGTCTATATCACGTATCAGTTCATGTATATGTCATGTGTCAGTTCATGTCTATGTCACGTGTCAGGTCATGTCTATGTCACGTTTCAGTTCATGTCTATGTCATGTTTCAGTTCATGTCTATGTCATGTGTCAGTTCATGTCTATGTCACGTGTCAGTTCATGTCTACGTCACGTGTCAGTTCATGTCTATGTCACATTTCAGTTCATGTCTATGTCATTTTTCAGTTCATGTCTATGTCACGTGTCAGTTCATGTCTATGTCATGTGTCAGGTCATGTCTATGTCACGTGTCAGTTCATGTCTATGTCACGTTTCAGTTCATGTCTATGTCACGTGTCAGTTCATGTCTATGTCACGTGTCAGTTCATGTCTATGTCACGTTTCAGTTCATGCCTATGTCATGTGTCAGTTCATGTCTATGTCACGTGTCAGTTCATGTCTATGTCACGTTTCAGTTCATGTCTATGTCACGTGTCAGGTCATATCTATGTCACGTGTCAGTTCATGTCTATGTCACGTGTCAGTTCATGTCTATGTCATGTTTCAGTTCATGTCTATGTCATGTTTCAGTTCATGTCTATGTCACGTGTCAGTTCATGTCTATGTCATGTGTCAGTTCATGTCTATGTCATGTGTCAGGTCATGTCTATGTCATGTGTCAGTTCATGTGTATGTCACGTGTCAGTTCATGTCTATGTCACGGGTCAGTTCATGTCTATGTCATGTGTCAGTTCATGTCTATGTCATGTTTCAGTTCATGTCTATGTCATGTTTCAGTTCATGTCCATGTCATGTGTCAGGTCATGTCTATGTCACGTGTCAGTTCATGTCTATGTCACGTGTCAGTTCATGTCTATGTCACGTTTCAGTTCATGTCTATGTCATGTGTCAGTTTATGTCTATGTCATGTGTCAGTTCATGTCTATGTCATGTGTCAGTTCATGTCTATGTCATGTGTCAGTTCATGTCTATGTCACGTGCCAGTTCATGTCTATGTCACGTGTCAGGTCATGTCTATGTCATGTGTCAGTTCATGTCTATGTCACGTGTCAGTTCATGTCTATGTCATGTGTTAGCCGCATATGTGATAGATCACCTTGTCCATGTACACACACACACACACACACACACACACAATATATATATATATATATATATATATATATATATATATATATATATATATATATATATATATATATATATATATATATATATATATATATATATATATATATATATATATATATATATATATATATATATATATATATATATATATATATATATATATATATATATATATATATATATATATATATATATATATATATATATATATATATATATATATATATATATATATATATATATATATATATATATATATATATATATATATATATAAGAAATGACCATGTTACAGAATATTTGTGCTGATGCTTTCAGAAAAGTGGCCGTGGTGACACAAGCCAGGTGTAAATACAAGGCCTGCAAGTCGATGGAACAGCTGCTACAGTGTCTCGGGGAGGCACAGATCTGACATAAGGATAGTCCTTCTTCTGTGATGTTCCAATGTCAAGGACGTTGATGATTTCGCTTCCTGTGAAGCTTGATTTCAGGGTTAAGCAGGGCTTTCTTCTGGGGGGTTTCGCCAAACCGACATCTTTTTGGGTCTTATCGCTTGTTGTGAGTACCGGCACGTTTTTTTAATAGCGAAAAAAAAAAGTTCTGAAGGGAAGCACTAAGCAAATTCATATCGTGGGATCTATGGGTATTTTTGTGTGTAAAGCAGAAAGAGAGAGAGAGAGAGAGAGAGAGAGAGAGAGAGAGAGAGAGAGACAGAGAGAGAGAGAGAGAGAGAGAGAGAAAGAGAGAGAGGGGAAAGAGACAGAGTGAGAGAATGAGAGAGTGAGCGAAAGAGAGTGTATGAGAAAGAGGGAGAGAGAAAGAGTGAGAGAGAGGGAGGCGAGAGAGCGGAAAAGAGTGTGAGAGGGAGAGAAAGAGGAAGAGAGTGGAAGGAGGAAGAGGGACAGAGTGAGAGAATGAGAGAGAGACTGAAAGAGTGCGAGAGAGTAAGACATGATAGAGATAGAGAAAGTCAGAGATAGAGAGAGAGCGAGAGATAGAAGGGTTATGATACACAGGCAACACATGTAGCTACAATACTCGCTACAATACTGGCCAGGTTTTGTGCCATGCAGAGCAGTGTTCCCGAACCTGCCCACAGAACAGTATCAGACTATCGTCTGGAACGACCGAACCTGCCCACAGAACAGTATCAGACTATCGTCTGGAACGACCAAACCTGCCCACAGAACAGTATCAGACTATCGTCTGGAACGACCGAACCTGCCCACAGAACAGTATCAGACTATCGTCTGGAACGACCAAACCTGCCCACAGAACAGTATCAGACTATCGTCTGGAACGACCAAACCTGCCCACAGAACAGTATCAGACTATCGTCTGGAACGACCAAACCTGCCCACAGAACAGTATCAGACTATTGTCTGAAAAGATGGAAAGGTGACAAGTCACTGGAATTAATGCAACTCAAAATTATGTTGTGAAGTATTCAGTTTTTAAATATATTGGATCTACAATACTAAAGCAGCCAGTGTGTTCGGTCATTATTACTTTATCTCAAGTACAGGTTTCCAAAATGGACGCTGTTGCCTCTTGGAGGGAGGGGAGGGGTGCGGGAATAATCAAAGAGGACGATAGTTGTATAGGCGAAATGGAAGAGGGAGTGGGGGGGGGGGGCGCTGGAACTGTCCTGTGGTGGGGCGGCTTGGAGGGGGTTGTACAGTTGCTCCCAGAATTGGGTAACAAATAACATTGAAGCGGTGGAAGAAAATTCAAAGAAGAAGAAGAAGAAGAAGGAGTGTCGAAGGCGAGTAGTTGACGATACAGATAAGATAATTGTGGTGTTAATGATACTATTTTATTGCAAGGGTGGTTGGGATAACAAAAGTATTAATGACACCCACATCAAAGTCACTAATAAGGTAGTGTTGTAATAGCCTTAGACATTGAACGCTCGCCAACTGTTGACTCATAATACAGTAACTTTGGAAACGGAATCCCGTTCAATCCCCGACAAATGTCCCGGGGTTTTCCTGACAATTCTGAGCACTGATTGGAAGTCTCGCGTGCAAGCGCCAGTGCCATCTCCTGCACGCACGCGCTTACCGCCCCTATACGCTTTCCACCAGCGATGACGAAATTTGTTATTATAGGGAAATCGTTATTTTTTAATTCTTTTTTTTTGACAATTGTGTCTAATATAATTCTTACATTGGCTTTTGCAATAAGACACAAGTGCACTTGAGGCATCACGCTAATGTGTGCATTTACACCATTATTTGCACCACGCCTATTTTCAGTACAATTCCTAATTTTTCTCCCCAAAAGGTTCAACTAATGCCAACATTTAAAATAGTGATACAAAATTTGTAAACGCACTGAAAACATTAGGCGTCTACCGAATGTACAATTTTGCTCGGCAAGGGTAAAAACGGTCAAAAGTTGTACGACAGTACCAACTTTGACAGCCCTGCTTCCTACATCCCCTCTGTGCTCTGTAATCAATTGTTCGTTTCCCATTTTGAGTGTGCAACACTTTTTCTTCTTCCTTTTTAGTCATGTTCTGTCTATCAGTGTCATGGTTTGAAGAGACATCGGGTGAGGGCCTTGGTGTGTGCTACGTAGAAGCGAGTATCTACGGCCCAGGGGGCTCCATCTATGCGCTAAAATACTCTTGGTACATTCATGTCTTGGTCTTTTACAGTTCATAAAAACCCCCGTGTGGGTTCCGGGGCCCCATTGTGGGGAAAACAAGAATAGACCCACTGCCTCCCCAAAAGCATGTCGTAAGAGTCGACTAATTGGGGAGCCTCCTTTGAAGTCGGATTGCATCTGCCGGAGAGGCAAGGAACCAACAGTTTGTATTCAAGAGAATGAGATCTGTAAAACTGATGCACACGCAACACTCAGGTTCTGGAGCAGGACTGCAGTTCAGTAGTTCAGCAACCAGAACTTTCCGCCAGAGTGTACAGCTGGTGAGCGCGAAGAAGAAGAAGTTTATAAAAATAGCCAGACAGACTTAGTACAGATAGTCTCTAGACTTTCACACCAGACAAGAATATATAACTTGCCGAAAAATGTGTAAGCACAATCGTTACCTCTCTTGCTTCGTACAAAAATAGCTTCATTTTCCTCTTTAAAGCAAAACAATGCTCCCATGTCCACGGACAGGATTGCTTGCCAGGCAAACCACAACAGTGACGCAGAAGGGACAATAAACTGGTTATACATTTTGATTACAATTATTTCATCTCATCTGTTCCCCTGTTACATTATAAACATTATTTCTTGTTTTTTTCTTTTCAAGTATATCCATTGCCCGTGTCCGTTTATATTTTTTTCCTCCCTGTTAGGAAAGTGGTCCATTCTTTTCCACCGAATATTCGTGTTATTCTTGTCATTTTTGTTGTTCTTCCTCTTCTATATTTCTTTTCTCTTCCTGTTCAACACCCCACAGTTTTCTTCTTCTTCTTCTTCTTCTTCTTCTTCTTCTTCTTCTTCTTCTTCTTCTTCTTCTTCTTCTTCTTCTTCTTCTTCTTCTTCTTCTTCTTCTTCTTCTTCTTCTTCTTCTTCTTCTTTCTTCTTCTTCTTCTTCTTCTTCTTCTTCTTCTTCTTCTTCTTCTTCTTCTTCTTCTTCTTCTTCTTCTTCTTCTTCTTCTTCTTCTTCTTCTTCCTCCTCCTCTTCTTCTTCTTCTTCTTCCTCTTCTTCCTCTTCTTCTTCTTCTTCTTCTTCTTCCTCTTCTTCTTCTTCTTCTTCTTCTTCTTCTTCTTCTTCTTCTTCCTCTTCTTCTTCTTCTTCTTCTTCTTCTTCTTCTTCTTCTTCTTCTTCTTCTTCTTCTTCTTCTTCTTCTTCTTCTTCTTCTTCTTCTTCTTCTTCTTCTTCTTCTTCTTCGTCTTCTTCTTCGTCTTCGTCTTCTTCGTCCTCTTCTTCGTCTTCGTCTTCTTCTTCTTCTTCTTCTTTTTCTTCTTCTTTTTCTTCTTCTTCGTCTTCTTCTTCTTCTTCTTCTTCTTCTTCTTCTTCTTCTTCTTCTTCTTCTTCTTCTTCTTCTTCTTCTTCTTCTTCTTCTTCTTCTTCTTCTTCTTCTTCTTCTTCTTCTTCTTCTTCTTCTTCTTCTTCTTCTTCTTCTTCTTCTTCTTCTTCTTCTTCTTCTTCTTCTTCTTCTTCTTCTTCTTCTTCTTCTTCTTCTTCTTCTTCTTCTTCTTCTTCTTCTTCTTCTTCTTCTTCTTCTTCTTCTTCTTCTTCTTCTTCTTCTTCTTCTTCTTTTATTTTTATTTCTTTTTTTTCTTAGTATTTTTCGCCTACTCCCCTCATCTGTTGCCTAACAGTGCATTGTACAGTTTGTACAACGGCCTCAGTTATATTCTTCAAATAGTATTTCCCCTCTTCAAAATACAAATACATTTTGTTCTGCGGCAATATTGCAAGTAAGGGAGTAAGTTTTACCCCACCAGGACATCACACAGAGCGATAAACACCCGGTGACACAAAGTACCACCATGTGGATGAAGATCACCCGTGGAGGGGTCCCAGAAACCGCGTTCAACCGTCAGGCTATATTGCAGCCTCTGACAAAAGCCAAGGTGGAGCTTCAAAATAACCACAAATTCCCTCCCACTTGGGGACGACCTTGGTTTTGATCTAGTCGAGTATTATTACTAAATGGCGTCTGCCATTTATAGTCGCTGACGGTCCAGGATCTTGTAAACAAACGCCTCGGAACAGGTTTAGTGCAATGGAAACTTTTTGTGTGCAGTATAATTTTCCACAGCATTCCACAACAAGCGACGTCACATTTTCTGGTTCACTGGCCACATACATGTTAGCCCCAAAAAGTGGGTTTCCCTTGCTACGAGGATGTTTTTTATGACGTCAGAAAATGTTATAACGTCACTGGGCTACAGGAAATTACACGGTTCCCCCACGGCCTAGATTTTTTTCTTTCTTTTTTTTCTGTTGGCTACTTTATTCCAATGTTGATTTGTTTACTTTTGAGTTTTCAAATTGTTTTCAGAGATTTCCAGTTACATGAAAGTGCGTGAGAATGCCAGCGACATTGAAAGACATGAGAATGGCAGAGTTATAGGAATGCAAAAGAATGACATGGAAATAGTCGTCTTCCTAACTGCACGATTTGACTGACAGCGACCTTGAGAAACGAAATTGGCGCACTATGATAATGGCCCAACATAATCTCTGATATCTGACTGCATGTACCCAGCACGTTTGCAGCACCCGCTCTGCACTGTGTGGTGTCTGGCATCATCGACAGCGCTCTAAGTTCCCAATCTTGTCTTTCTTGTACATGTGGCTGCAGAGTCTGTGGTGTCCAGTTACCAATGGAAATACGGTGGTGTGTTGCTTTTGTGTGAGGAGGTTATCTGGGTCCTTATGATTGTGTTCTGGGTGGTGAACGTTCCAATAGTTTGCCTTGGTCTGAGTTTTATGTTTTTTCT